GAACTAGAACAAGAAGAACAAGAAGAAAAACAAGAAGAAGAAAGTGCTCAACATCCCTAGCAATCAGGGAAATGCAAATCAAAACAACTCTGAGATACCATCTTACTCCTGTCAGAATGGCTAAAATCAAAAACACCAATGACAGTTTATGCTGGAGAGGATGTGGAGAAAGGGGAACACTCCTCCACTGCTGGTGGGAGTGCCAACTCATACAGCCACTATGGAAATCAGTATGGATTTTCCTCAGGAAAATGGGAATCAGTCTACCACAAGACCCAGCAATTCCACTGTTAGGCATATACTCAAAAGATGCACATTCATACAACAAGGACATCTGTTCCATTATGTTTATAGCAGCACTATTTGTAATAGCCAGACCTAGAAGTAACCTAGATGCCCCTCAACTGAGGAGTGGATAGAGAAAATGTGGTATATTTACACAGTGGAATACTATTCAGCAGAAAAAAGCAATGGAATCCTGAAATATGCAGGCAAATGGATGGCACTAGAAGAAATCATCCTGAGTGAGGTAACGCAGTCACAAAAAGACAAACTTGGTATGTACTCACTCATATATGGATTTTAAACATGGATCATGGCAGTCCCTGTCTACAGTCCCACTGCCAGAGAGGCAAGGAAACAGGAAGGACCCTAAGAGAGATATACATGTGAAGTGGGAAGTCCTGTGATTATGTCAATAAAGCACTGTTGGCCAATAGAGAAGTTAGATAGGTGGGACTAGGAGTCCAGGAGGACTCTGGGTAGGAGAAACACAGGGAGTCAAGATATAACGCCATGGGGTAGGAAGCCCAGAAACCTCTCCGGTAAGAAAAATACTTAGATTAGCAATTATGGGATAAATACTTAAGTCAGAGCTAGCCAGTAAGAAACTAACAAGGCCAACAGTTTCATAATTAATATAGCCTCCTGTGTGTTTATTTGGGACTGATGTGGCTCTAGAACCAGGCTGGCGGGAAGGCTTCTCTCAAGGAAAAGATTTCTCTTTACATAATGGTGATCAGGAGTGGGATGATGAATTTCCACTTAAAACGACAAAAGACTTACGGGAATTTTAGAAACAAAAGAATGGAGAAAAGCATGGGTTCTTGGTAGCAGCGTTTTTCTCAGGTGTGCTCTATTTTGCTAGCGACAAGCAAAGACTCACGAGGCTTGCTTAAGGGAGACTTCCTGACTCAGCATTTAAAAAAAAAAGCAAGGTTGTTTTAAGAGGCTCTGCTAACAATTAAAAGGTGTGACCACATCTCCAAGCATGGACTGAGGCAATTAGCTAGAATCACGCTTACGCCCGCCATCTTGGAAAAACTGCAGTTTAAACAGTGGTGGTTTTAACAGATAAGACACGTGGCCAGAAAAACATAAAGATTTACAGTAAAGTCAGACTTGGGTGAAGAAAAACTTCTAAAGGTTTACAGTGTGTTTAAAAATATATGTAAGATTGAGAGAGAAAAAGAAACGACAAAGTGGTAAATAAGTAGAGAAGCCGGCTGTGGTGGCGCATGCCGGTAGGAATTGCTCCAGAGGCAGAGGCAGGCAGGTTTCCAAAGAGAAATCCTGTCTCAGAGAAAAATAAATAAAAGTAAAAATAAAGTAATAATAGATAAATAAATGAGCCACATAAAGATGGAAAATACACAGAGTGTCTGGATACTGTATGCTATTGTGTTTTTCAGTTTTTTGATTGCTCAGGAAGGAACAACTGCTAAAGTACACTTGATTATAAATGCTGCTGAATTAATCCAACTTATATCTTTTGGAAATGCCTTGACTTCAAAATTTAAATATAAGGATATGTTACTTGGGAAAGGAGTTTTTGTTTATGTTTCTACAAAAAATGAAAAGCTGAGGATTCCTTCCAGGCTTCTGTGGTTTGATGAACCAAGACCCCCGGAAGCAGTGGACCAAGTATTCCAACAACTGAAACAGCTAAGATGATGCAGTCTTACAGACCCCGAAAATACGGACTTATACAGGTTTCTGAGTTTTGTCATGATCCCCATAGTATGAACATCACCCCCTTCTATCACGAAGCAGTTTGGAATGAGCAACGTCCTAATTTCCATCTTGTTTATAAACCTTTGTTTTCATTTAAATGGGATTGTTTATAATTGGTTAATGATCACAACCAATCTCTTTTTAATGCTTAAAAGGGGAATTATGGTATGGGTATGGTTTTTCATTTATTGATACAAATTCAAGGTCAATTTTGTGATGTGTATATTTCTCCTCTTGATTAAGTATTGTGCTTATACTGATCTTTTAAAACGTAATGCCTAATTGAATACAGACTATAGATAGTTACTTATAATAGAATTTATAGTTAGGTAAGTTAGGTTTTCTAAATATACAGAAATAATTTGAGATAGATAAACAGTCTTCAAACCTCTCAAAGACCTTCAGAAAATGGCATTTAAAATGGTTTAGGGTTTTTCTTGACAATGAGAAATGTCTGCTCCTGGCAGCACCAATTACATCTGAGAGGAAGATGGGCATTGAAGAAACTTGTTATGGAGTTTGCTTTCAACATAGCAAGATTAGCCATTTGGGCAAGAAACTGCTCTTGCCTGTACTGCTTGACTGTTGTTGTATAATCTGGACATGCAGGACCCACAGGAAAGTGACTGCTGAACTCAGTCTTACAGGGTTCCTACTTCATGGAAGAGTCTACGAGACTTTCTGCAGGACAAAGAAAAATGACTGACAGGCTGCCAATGCAGATGGACAGTTTGAAATTTCCTGCTTTCCTGAGAAATCTTCTGGACACGTTGTGGCCTATAGGCTAAAGATGGATGCCCCAACATTACAGAGGAACTTCAGGTGACTGTTCAGGCAATAAGATGTCTCTGTCAATCCTAGTGTTTATATATTATCCTTCTGTGGTCTTTGATGGAGTTGAAAACAGATAGTTATAATTATAGTTTTCCTTAGTTATGATAAAAGATAAGCTACATATAGGACTTTGGACTCACAAGAATGAGATAGATGTTATTTTCTTTAAATCTTGCTAAATGTTGATAGACAAAATATTGTAACTATGTTCTTACTTGATAACTATTCTTTTATATATAATTTGACTATGTTAAAGTTCAGACATTTCTTTTTGTTTAGACAGAAAAGAGGAGATGATGTGGGAAGTCCTGTGATTATGTCAATAAGGCACTGTTGGCCAATAGGAAAGTTAGATAGGTGGGACTAGGAGTCCAGGAGGACTCTGGGTAGGAGAAACACAGGGAGTCAAGATATAACGCCATGGGGTAGGAAGCCCGGAAACCTCTCCGGTAAGAGAAATACTTAGATTAGCAATTATGGGATAAATACTTAAGTCAGAGCTAGCCAGTAAGAAACAAGCAAGGCCAACCGCTTCATAATTAATATAGCCTCCTGTGTGTTTATTTGGGACTGATGTGGCTCTAGAACCAGGCTGGCGGGAAGGCTTCTCTCAAGGAAAAGGTTCCCTTTACATACATGGTACCCCAGAGAAGGTGGAATGAGGCAAGATCTCCTGAGCAGATTGGGAGCACAGGGTGGGGGAGGGGAAAGGGAGCCAGGAAAAAGAGAGGGAGATAAGAGGAAGGAAGAGGAGGACATGGGGGATCAGGAAAGTTGAGTTGTGGGAAGAATAGAGGAGAGCAGGATGAGAGGTACCATAATAGAGGGAGCCATTCTAGGTTTGAGGGGAGATCTGGCACTAATGAGAACTCCAGAGATCTACAATGATGACACCAACTGGCAAATTAAGCAGTAGTGGAGAGACTACTTTAAACACCCCTCCCTAATAATGATTTTGATAACTATCTTGCATGCCATCCTAGAACCTCCATCCAGTGACAGACGGAAGCAGAGGCAGACACCCACAGCTAAACACTGAACTGAACTCCTGGAGCCCAGTGACAGAGAGGGAGGAGTGATGTGCAAAGATGTCAAGACTGGGCTGGTGAATCCCAGAGAAACAGCTGACCTGAACAAGGAGGAGATCTTGGACCTCAGACTGATGGCTGAGAGACCAGCATGGGACTGATCCAGACCCCCTGAATGTGGGTGTCAGTGAGGAGACCTAGGCAATCTGTGGGGTTTTTGGATAGTAGATCAATACATATCCATGGCACACAAATGGACTTTGGGGACCCATCCCACAATGAGGGATGCTTTCTCAATTTGGACACTTTGTGGAGTGCCTGGGCCCTCCATGGAACGAAATGACAGACTCTAGAGATCCCCCATGGAGGGCCTTACCCTTCCTGGGGAATGGAGTGGGGATTGGGTGGGGGGCTAGGGAGGCCGGGAGGAGAGAGTGGGGGGGAGGGGAGGGAGAGGGAGCTGGGACTGACTTGGGAAGCAAGCTTGTTCCTAATTTAAATATATAATAAAAGTGTAAAAAAAAAGAAAAGAAATAACAGAGATCTATCTGTCTCTGCCTCCTGTTTGCTAGGATAAAGATACATGTCAATCTGCCCAGGCAATTTACTCCTCCTGAGGTAGAGTCTTCCTTAGTGCTGAGGGAATATTGAGCTACATGGAAAAGGATAGCGTCATGGGCACCATGACTTGGACAAATTCTATTACTACTCTGGGTGACACGGCTCTCACTTATGCAGGCCTGGATGCCTAGTCACCTGCTGTGGATGCCAAAGTAACCTTCCCTTTGGGTTCGACTCTGCCTGGAAAACATCTGTAAATAAAGTGTGTTTTGAGGCTCATTCCTGTAACCCAGCACTCAGGAGGAAATGAAGAAGAGGAAATGGCCTGAGTTGAGGCCCAGTTTCTGCTATACCCGGAGTTCTAAGCCAACCTGGGCTACATAAAGGCCCTCACTAAAAACAAATTCCACCAAGAGGGAAAGACAACAAAAGAAAGAAAGAAATGACGGAAAAAAGGAAGGAAGATCTCAGTGTTCGCGCACTTAGTCTCAATTCCTTCCGTTTCCTGCCTGAAGATCTTATCTAGACACACCCCAAAACCATAAACCAGTTAAGCGGATGGAGCTCAACCATCCAATCAAATTGCAGCTCGTGATGGGGCGGGTTTCAAAGGGGAGGAGTTAGGGGGAAGGCCTGAAAAGCTTCAGAGGAGTCAGAGAAGGTACCAGGGTCGAGGAGCAGACAGCCTCTTCCTGTCCAACTGGAAGAAGAAACGCAATCGCCAGTGTCTGCCTGTGGTAAGTCACCCTCCTCCATCAGACACCACGTCTCACCCAGCCCAGCCACTCTCCACAGTAGACCCAATGGCACAGGGAGTTTGAATCTCTGTCTCCAAATGAGGAGTTCCGGGATGGTTTGGACTCCAAATGCAGCTTTGCCTTTATCTTAAATACTGTGAGGGTCTGAGAGAAGTCCCAAAAAGTCCACCAATCACTATGCCGTCCCCAAGGGCGTTTATATGACACCACGCACACGTCGGGTCGCTATACATGGACAAAATGGCTGCCGCGCTGAGCCTCTGAAGCCCAGCTACAGGAATTTTAAAAGCTGTGTGACCATTCTACTTAGGATTGGCTTACACAAGTGGCAATCACATTAGAACAGTTCTAATTGGTTGGGGCTAGCAGGAGGTGGGCCATGGCTACAGTTTTTCCATTCCAGGGCAGCTCTGGACTAGAGCCAGGCTTTGTACTGTTTTCGTCATCCCCTGTGGGGGGCGGAAGGGGTGTTGGCCCGGGAGTGTGTGCCTCCTCCAGAGTCAGGGTCCCAGGTGATTGAGTGTCCGTTGTTTGTGAACTCTGGCCCGTTCTTACTGAGTTATTAGCGGCCTTCATGATATGTGCCTGACCCTCTCTAATACCACTTTATTTCTGATTAATTTGTGACTTTTTTAACTTGTGACACAAGGTTTTACCTCGTTGCCCAGATTGTCCAGAACTGTCTGAGTAGCTCAGGCTAGGTAGACACCCAGCCTCAGCTTCCAGTCAGTGGCTGACATTGCAGACTGTTACTCAAACATCTGCCGATGTTCTGTTGTTATTCATTTCATTTCCCTTTCTGGTTAGTTTGCTTCTTTCGTTGGGTTTAGTTTTGGTTTGGTTTGGATTGGTTTGGTTTGGTTTTGATTTTCAAGACAGGTTTTTTTCAAGTAATATCCCTTACTGTCCTAGAACTAACTTTGTAGACGAGACTGGCCTAGAGCTCAGAGAAGTCTTCCTGCCTCTGCTTCCCAAATGCTGGGATTAAAGACTTGCTCCACCTCGTCTCTATGGAACTCTTCATTAAAAAGTAACAGTAAATGCCTTGCTCAGTGGCACATACCTGTAGTCCCAGTTCTTGGGCGACAGAGGCAGTCAGATTTCCCTTAAATTCAAGGCCGGAGCCTGGTCCACGTAGTGAGTTCTAGGACAGCAAGTGATAGAAAAAAAGACTGTGTCAAACAACAACAATAATGATAAAACATTTACTTTTATAGCCAAGGCTAGCCTAGGAACTCCATCAGTATCTTAGATGACCTCAAACAGTGACCCCTCTGTGCCCATTTCCTGAGGGCTGGGTGTAAAAAGCCTTGAGTCCTCTTTATCCAGTGCTGGGGATCGAGCCCCCAGAGACTCTTGCCTGCTAGGCCAGCACTCCAAAAGTTATTAAAGAAAAATGAGAAAATTCTGGAGGGTTAGAGGATTGTAAAGGAGAAATACCTTCTTAAAATTACTTAGGCTTCCTTTGTTGCTTTGACAGAGAAATGCTGTTGAATTGGAATTTACTTTGTGTTTGTTTACTATGATGTCCTGGGAGGCCTGGAACTTGCTATGTGGAGCATGCTAGGATTCATAGAAATCCTCCTTCTCTGCCACCAGTCCAGGAAATGCATGCTTACATGGGTGACTGTGTTCCTGTGTGAGTCTATTTAGTATTAGAAAGAGAGAGAGAGACAGAGAGAGAGAGACAGAGAGAGACAGAGAGAGACAGAGACAGAGACAGAGAGTGTGTGTGTGTGTGTGTGTGTGTGTGTGTGTGTGTGTGTGTGTGTATTCAGGTCTTCTCCTGTACCACAGCTGGTGGTCTGGAAGTTCTTGTCCTCTGTCTTTCACACACCACACGCTGGGATGAGAGGCCAGACGCATCATGTCTGACTGGATTTGTTTTCTTTTCTTTTTTATTTTTGTGAATTGGTGTTTTGCTGGCATGTATTTTCCTGTCAGACCTTGGAGTTACAGACAGGTGGGAGTTGCTATGTGGGTGCTGGAGTTGAACCTGGGTCCTCTAGAAGATCATCCAGGGCTCTTTACTATTGAGCCATCTCTCCAGCCCCAGGATTTGTTTTCTTGTAACTTATTGAGTTTGATATCTTTAAATGATACTTCCTAGAGATTGATTTCTATTTATATGAATTGACATCTCCTTGGAATCTCTCTTGGAAGTTTCGAGGATCCAAGAAGATGAGCACCAGGACCCCACCCACCCTGGAGGATCTGGCAAGGCAGGCGATGCTGAGAAATGAGGCCTTGACCATCTCTGCTCTGGAAGGCCTGCCCAAGATGCTCTTCCTACCCCTGTTCCAGAAGGCACTCAGTTGGAGACTCACAAAGATTGTGAAGTCAATGGTTGCAGCCTGGCCTTTACCCTACATCCCTGTAGGGGCCTTTTTATCCTCCGGCACCCTGGAGTTTTCTCAGGTTGTGGTAGAAGGACTGAGGGACCTGCTGAGACAGGAGGATCGCCCTGTGTAAGTAAGATTCATCTAGGGTCACATAGAGGATTCTGGGGTGCAAGGTATTGATATTTGAAGTTGAGATAATGTAGTCAGAGGAGATCAGAGGCCTTGGAAGCATCATCTTGTTGGACTGCAGCAGCCTTGACTGCCATTGATCTCTGATGGAGAAGGACAGTTGGGTGTGGGGAGGAAGAGAGAAGATGTGGGCACAGTGGGAGGAGCCTGACCCTGTCTCTTCCACAGGCACTAGTTGTACCAGATCAAGAGTAGCAGTATGGAGGGAAGTGAGACAGAGGACTACTGATGTAGTGTAGACAGAGCCATTGCCTGGGACCATGAGGTTGTTGGAGACTCAGAGCTGGGAAAACTCCAGTCCTCATGGGAGAAAGGGAGAGCTGACATTAGAGATGTGTGGAAAGGCGCTGGTGTCTGTGGAATCTTCTCTCTTAGTGACCCTTCACCTGTTTTACTCACAGGAGGGGGAATCTTCGAATACTCGATTTTCGGAGGTTGCCCCATGACTTCTGGACCCTAAATGCTAGAGCAGAAGATGGGGACAGCTCAGCAGTGACTGTGAGTGAGAATCAGGCAGTGAAGCCCCCTCCCAGATATGAACAGAGGCAGCGTGTGAAGGTGATAACTGACCTCTACTCCAGGTTCCAACAGCATGAAGAAGAAACAGACTTCTTGCAAGAGGCTCAGCCTAGAAAAGACTCTCTACAGCTGTGCTGTGTGAACATGAAGATTTTGTTATTGTCTGAAGATCGTGTCATTATGTTCCGAAAAATTATCAGGCTGTGGGATGTTGAGGTGTTAGAATTAACCATAGATTGGAGTTGGAGTTCTCTGTTACAATTTTATCCCTACTTCGCCCATATGATAAATCTTCACACACTTTCTCTAGTCTGGATCGAGAAGAACACATCTGACCATGCCTATAAATCAGAGTACAAGTGGTTTGTCCGCACTTTCATATCTGAGCTCTCCAGAATCAGCAGACTCCAACATCTCTATATGAATGGCATCTGTTTTCTCAGTGACAACATGAAACACTTGCTCAGGTGAGGATGGATAGAGAGCTTTTTCTGCTGCCAAAGAAAAACTTTGCATTTTATATTAAAGATAGTGGTATCTCCCAGTTCTTGGAGAATGAATTGTGAATGAGCCATTAGAACATCTAACCATGGTCTCCTTTCTCTGTAAACTGAGACTAAGACTCCCACGACCACTCTTGAAGCAGAGATCTGATTTGGGGTAGGACGTGTGTGCATAGTATGTCACAAATGCAGTTGGATTGGTCAGATTTAGTGAGAATGCTGCACTTTCTCCCTTAGAATCCTGGCTAATCTAATGGAAAGTGAACAGAGAAAGAATGGTACCCAAGAGTAGAGGGTCAGAATACCTGCATAGCTCCCCAGGTGGTCTGTGCTCACAGTGTGTGAACAGACACCAGGATTTCCCTTGTAGGAAAAGCTTTGAACAGTGAGGGACTCAGAGGATGGGAAATGGTGACAGTGGGATTGAGGGTCAATGTCATGTAGAGACTGGGATTCCCCACAGAGGTGGTGGCAGGAAGCAGAGAGCAGTGACAACTGTCTGAAATGCTCTGGGGTCTTTCATGGGCTGGTCCTTGTGTGCCCTAGGGTATAACAGGTGCACAGGAATTCTGTGTCAGTGAGGAAAGGATGCTGCAGAGCTGTGCACTGAGCCATCCCACAGTGACAGAGAAAGGCAACTGTGGGTGTGGCTTGAGTGATCAGATTCCAGCAGGCAGCACCATAGGTATTGACTTCCATCATGTGGTCCAACTGTCCCGGGGACACCTGTCCCCTTCTACTGCTGTGTGAAACCACCACACGCCCTCTCCAGCATCATTTGTCTGAACTAACCCCTTGGTCTCTGCCTAGGAACTTGAAGAATCGCCTGGAAACCTTCTCTGTCACTCACTGCCAGCTGTTTCGGACAAACTTGTATCATCTGTCCCAGTGTCGGCGCCTCTATCAACTAAAACATCTGGACATGAGTGGAGTCCTACTGTCAAATTTCTGTATGATGCCTCTCAGGGTTCTCCTAGAGAAAGTGGTAGACACTCTTGAGTCTCTGGAGTTAGAGGGGTGTGGGATAAAGGACTCTCAGCTCAGAGTCCTCCTCCCTGCCCTCAGCCAATGCTCCAAGCTCACCAAGGTCAACTTTTATACCAATGACTTCTCCATGAATGTCTTGAGTGACCTTCTCCACCACAGAGCCAACTTGAGCAAGATGACCATGGAGCAGTACCCTGCCCCTCGAGAGTGCTATAAGCTGGGTGTGGTCTCCATAGAGAGATTTGTACAACTTTGCCCTGTGCTCATGGATATACTCAGGGCGGTAAGGCAGCCCAAGAGCGTCTCCTTTGCTACAGATGTGTGCAGTAGATGCTCTAAGCGCTGTGTGTATGAGCAGGAGACCAGGCTTTGCTCTTGCTTGCAGTAAAGAGTGGAGTGTTAGTTTTGGTTCTTGCCTTCTCAGGGTGGGTACATAGGAGGCTTTGGACAGAGATTTAAACTAAAGTGAGCAATGCAGACACATCTTCTATGAAGGTTTTCAATCTGAGATGCTTAGTATAGTAGGCAATACTGTGTGCAGATCAAAGATTACACTAGGAAAAAGCAATGCAGAGCAAACGGACTGTGTTTTATCCCATGCTATGATCTTTATTTTTTTCTCTGTCACTTAAAAAAGATGTCTGTAATTTGCTAGCCTTGAATTCTTATAAAAGTTACTTTGCATTGTTTTATTTATGTTTATGTGATGACGAGGTACATGCCCCCCTGGTGCAAGTACCAGAGGCATCTGATTCCTTAGTCATTTGCCTGACATGGTTGCTGGAAACTAAACTTGGCTGCTCTGGAAGAGAAACAAGTGCTCTACAGTCCTGAGGCATCTCTCTCTCTCTCTCCAACTCCAGGCCTTGAGCTCTTAATTCTCTTGTTCTGATTCCACCTCCTAATTGCTGAGATTTGCCATATCAATACCATATCCAGTCTGCACCCTACATGGCTCCTAAAAGCTAGGTGGTCACTGCTATATAAGTCTCCTGTACAAGATCAAAATTCCTCTAGTGTCCTTCCTACACCAGATATAACTATTTCCACTTTTCAACTATAATCTTCATCTTCTATTTTTCATTCAATTAGGCCTTAATTATTCTCATATTTGTTGGTCAGATCTGATAGCCACAGAATAATTTTGAGTCACACTCTCTTTTTTTTCTTTTTTTTTTGGGGGGGTGGTTTTCGAGACAGAGTTTCTCTGTATTGTTTTGGAGGCTGTCCTGGAACTCGCTCTGTAGGCCAGGCTGGCCTCAAACTCACATAGATCCACCTGCCTCTGCCTCCCAAGTGCTAGGAATAAAGGTGTGTGCCACCAACGCCCCACTTGGGTGATACTCTTATATGTCATTTTTGTATTTATTAAAACAGAGATCCAGGCCGGGCGTTGGTGGCGCATGCCTTTAATCCCAGCACTCGGGAGGCAGAGGCAGGTGGATCTCTGTGAGTTCGAGACCAGCCTGGTCTACACGAGCTAGTTCCAGGACAGCCTCCAAAGCCACAGAGAAACCCTGTCTCGAAAAACCAAAAAAAAAAAAAAACAGAGATCCATTGCTTCCATGTTGGTCACTATTGTTGACTGACTTCCATACAGCAACTGGTTGTAAGGTTTTATATCAAGTATACTCTGGAAAGAAAGAAAAACATGAAGTGGTGTGATTTCCATGACAGTACCATTTGAGGAATAATCTTAAAATTAGCCCTTGCTAGGAAACAGAGTGTTTCATAATTCACTTGACAGCATACTCATACTGAATATTACAAGAATATGCACACTGACCATAGACCTTATCATGTGCAAATCGTTTTATATTTTACCTACAGTCAGTGCTCACAGACCAACACATTCTTAGGAGAATACACTCTCCCTGTTAAATGACTGCCTTGTGATTTTCTGAACCAATGCACATGCAAAGGGGGAGGACACTGTAAGCAGGTTCTTCATGTCAGTCTCTCACCTGGGCTCTAAGTCTTCATATGCAGCAGGGTTTATTATTATAGAATGACACAGCAGGGCCACAGAGATGAAGTTCTACATAGAAGCGATTGCATCCTCCTGCCTCTCTGGTTCATCTCCTCTAGGTACAGTTTCAATATGAGGCCCTGAACATGCAGATTCTGGTCACCGGTTTACAGGGGACAAACACTGATCTCCTACAACACATACTATAAAACACACACAGGGAACATGGCCAAAGGTCAAGGAACTGAAGAAGAAAAGGTATCATTACATACAAGGCACATGCTTCACCTCGTAGTCAAGCCCCAGAACGTTAGAAAATGTAATTGGTTATTAGTGATGCTGCTTATATTTTAGAGCTATGGTTTCTATTTATAGAACAGATTGGTTTGAAACCCACTTGAAGATTATTCTGCTCTCAATCTCCCAGCCATCCTCCTGTCTCAGTTGGGGATGTAGCTCAGCTGGTTGAGTGCTTGCCTATGTATCAGGAATTCCCTGGATTTTAGCCCATGCCCCCAGCTCCACTTGACAGCAGCTGTGGTTGTCCGTGCCTGTAATCCAACACAAAAGTGGAGGGGGAAGGAGGATGTGAAGTTCAAGGTCTTCCTCGGGTTTATAGTCAGAGGCCACCAGGGTAAGTGAGGTCCCGACTCAGAACAGCTAAGAGCTAAAGACACTGCAGGAACTCCAGTAGACCTTACTAAAGCAAGAACAGCGCTGAAACAGACGCAAAGACTGCAAGAGGACAGCAGCCTGTCCCGAAGTGGTTGCTGCTCTGCAGAGTTGAGTCAAGTCTGTTGACATAAGCACCAATGGTCTGGTGACATACCCCCATAGGCCTGGTGGGTAATGTCTGGTTGTCTTCCTTCAGGATCTAGGTTGAAAACTTGAGTGATCTCGTGGTGAATAGCATTACAGGTGCTGCCCGTCTGATTTATGATTTATGCCACCTCTCCATTTCCTTCTGGTTGAATTAGCCAATCTCCTAAGTGGTAAATCCTAAGGTGTTGGAACTCTCAGTTCTAGAAGGGATGTCTCCATCAAATCCCTCCCCTCAGGGCTCAGGTACCTTGTGTAAATGAGAAAGAAAGAATGTTAGAGCCCTAGGGGAGGGTGGACATTAGGAAACCTTAAACACCTCAGGACTGATGGATTTACTGTGCTATCATGAACAGGGCCCACATGGCTCTGCAACACAAGGGGCTCTGGGTTGAGAGGACTGACACAAGCTCCAACCAGTAAGCAAGAAGCTATCTCCAATTGATAAGGATGACAACTGAAAAAGTTGTTCTCTTGCATGAAGACACACACACCTACCTTACAGGTCCCCTCCTTCCATAATATGGCACCCAATTCTGTGTGTTCATGGCATTCCTGTATGTGAACATGTCCTACATCTACATGTGTTCCTCATGATTTTGTTTGCTTCTTGTTCCTCTGTTATTTAATTTTACCTATTCCAGTTTCTGTTTTGTTCATTTTTTGAGACAGGGTCTCTCTGTGTAACAACTGTGGCTGTCCTAGAACTCATTTGTAGACTAGTCTCTTGAAGGTTGCACCCGACCCTGGGTCAGCACTCCTTATGTGTCTTTGATGATTAATGTGTTTGCTCGTTTGTGTGCTGCTGCTCTGAGAGGAGAGAGTGCATGCTGGGACAGGAGGACTAGACACTGAGGTCTCGCTCACTCCGCCTGGTGGCCCCTCCCGAGCCATCTCACTGGCTGCTAAGCTCCCTTAATTTTTTTCTTTGCAAAAAAAATTTGAACCCTGACGTTGGTGGCACACGCCTTCATTCCCTGCACTCTGGAGGCCAAGGCAGGCAGATCTCTGTGAGTTCAAGGACAACCTGGTCTACAGAGCAATTTCCAAGACAGGCTTCAAAGCAATACAGAGAAAATCTGCTCCAAAAACAAACCAAAAATTTTTTTGTTTTGTTTATTTTTTGGTTTCCAAGGGAGGGTCTCTCTGTAGCCCCTGCTGTCTTAGAATCTCTCTGTAGACCCAGATGTCCTTGACTTTTGATCCACCTAACTCTGCCTCCAGGGCACTGGGATTAAAGGCGAGTGCTGACACCACCCTGCTTAAAATAGTTTTTAAGACAGATCCTTACTCTGTTTGCCTGACAGGTTTGAAATTGGCTACTTACATCAGGCTAATATATTGAACTCACTGACAACCACCTACCTCTGTCTCTCAGGTGTAGGTATTAAAGGCAACTACCACCATTCCTTGTACTCTGTCTTTAAGATTCACACTAGGTGTAGGATTATGTTGCCTGTATGTTTCAATGTGCAAACATTTATATCTGTTGCCCAGGTCAGAGGGGGCTTCAGATCTCCAGGAACGGGAGTTACGGATACTTTCAGCCACCACCACGTGGTGCTGGGAAGGGAAGATTGACAGGTGCTCATTATTGCTGAGCCACTCTCCAGCCCCCAGGTCCACTCTTGATATCATGGCCTTGAGCAAGTGTGCTGGCCTGATGCATCCTTTGAAGCCCCTCTGTATCTAGGGAACCAAGGGTGGCATCACAGACAAAGCAAGCTTTATTGTTCTGTTCTGTTCTGTTCTGTTCTGTTCTGTTCTGTTCTGTTCTGTTCTGTTCTGTTCTGTTCATTGGTTACAAAGCAGGTATCCATGGCTCGGGCTGTTCTTCAGTTTACAGTATGGCTGAAGATGACTTTGAACTGATCCTCCTGCCTCCAATTCTGGAATTCTGGAGTTACAGGAATGCTCAGCAGGTCTGCTGCAGTTAATGCAGGGCAGAGGGCACAGGGTATGCTGGGTTGGTCTCTAGGAACTGAGTGCATTCCGAACCCACATACATGGAATCAAGTCATCCTCCTGCCTCACCCTTGAGTAGCTGCTACTTCAGTCTATTGACAGAGCATCCAGTTCAGGCTTGAGCTCCAGAACATATTCCCAAATGACTAGGTGTTTGTCCTAGGGCCCACTGACAAAAAATATTTTTGAATCATTTTTATGACAGTTATCCACAACAGATTAAATCCCAAACTGACTCAAAATCAGACTGATTTTGGCCAAATGAATCAAATTCATTTTGGTTATTCATAACAATACTCCTAACCAAAATGATGCTGGGCAGGAAGATTTCTCGGAGTTAGAGTTCCAAAACAACCTCAGCATCAGTGCCTGTAACAAATTCAAAGCTGAGTAATAAAGAAACCAATAAAGAACAAATTATCAACTCAGTGTTGTGTAGATAATAAGCAAGTTGAATGTTATCTATCCAAGACTTTGAGGGGCAGGGTGGTGTTCTCACCCTGAGTTCTAATTCAACGAAGAAATGATTGAATATTGTCCAGAGAATTAAAATGGTGCATATTGAACCATCCAATCAAATTGCAGGTTGGGGTTGGAAGGCGGGGTTGCAGTAGGGAGGGTGAGCAGAGAGGTGTATAAAAGCTTCAGGAGAGCCACCCAAGACACTCAGAGACCTGGAGCTGAAGGATATTTCTGGCACGGCTGGAACACGGAGGCTATCCTCAGTACTCAGAGCTGGTGAGTAATTGTCCTCCTTTGGTTCGTGCAGTTTGATCTGGGGACTTTAAGATCCACCATTGGACAGAAAATTTGATTCCTGTCTCTTCAGATAAACACACTGAACACACTGGGTTTAATTCTAAATGAAGGTTTACCTTCATCTCAAATGTCATTCTAGGAGAACTTGTTGATCTCAGTGTGATTGTTGATTGCTTTGAGACAAGGGTGTCGTAGTTGTTCACGCTGTCCTAGAACTGTCCCTGTAGTTTTGAGTATGCTGGAAATCAAGACCCTCCAGACTCAGGGTGCTGTGGTCCCTAGCATGATCTCTCCTACTGTGCTACATTGATATTGGTTTTTCTGTGAAACAAGGGCCCAAGCAGACCTGCAGAGCACACGGCTTGGTTCCTTGGCACTTGCTCTGCTTCAGACTCACAGATGCTGGAATTGCATTTGTGGCGTAGGTCTGGACTCAGGCTTTGGTTTCCATCTTTTTCAAACAATTTTTTATTGTTTGTTTTTTTGTTTGTTTGATATGGTCTGGTTTGGTGACCCAGGGTGACCTGAAAACTTCAGGAACCCACTGCCATCATCTTCCATGGTAGAAATATACTGAACATTGAACCACAACACAAGGGTTTCTTTAGTTTTGTTTGTTTTTTTGAGAAAGGGTCACTCATGAGATCTTTTGACCTGGAATTAATGAGTCATTAAGGGATAGAGAGGCTCCCATGCTGCCAGTGAGGGACTCTGGCTTCCAACCACCAGTAAGGACCAAGGTTGTTGACTCTACCACTGCCAGAGCAAATAAACTCTGACTTGAGTGGTTCCTGTGCTGGGTGAGGAAGATTTCTAAACCATGTCCTGAAAGAATGTTGTTCTCTGAATTCATCCCCAGGACCTTTCTGACTGCAGACCCATCATGATGAGCGTTCGGACCCCAGCCACACTCAGAAAGCAGGCAAGCCAGGCTCTGCTGAGAAATGAGGACTTGGCCATCTCTGCTCTAGAGCAATTGCCCATGGAGCTCTTCCCAGAACTGTTCAAAGAGGCCTTCAAAGGCAGACACACTAGGATTGTGAAGGCAATGGTGGCAGCCTGGCCTTTCCCCTGCCTCCCTGTGGGGACACTGATGAAGACCCCAAACTTGGAAACCTTCCAGGCTGTGTTAGATGCAGTAGACATGCAGCTGGCAAGAAAGTTTCACCCCAGGTGAGCAAGAACCTCATACTTTAGACTGGAGCACAGGGTACACAAGGAAGACACCGTGGGGTCAGGGAGAAGGGTGTGGAATTGGCTCAGAGATGTCTCATGGGATCATCACACAGGGATGCAGGGCCTTTATAGGTATTGATTCCTTGTAGTAAGGACAGTGAGAGTGAGGATTTGAGCTTAGGGAAGATGGAGTCACAGTGCGGTGAGACCATCCCTGGCATTCCCACAGCCACTAATAACGGGTCTACGGAGGGAACAGAGAGTAACTTAGTGGAAGGAAAGCAGTCAGGTCTCAGATGCAGCCCAGGGGAAGCGTCCATAGCACACGAGTTGCCACATTGGACCTTGGTGCTGAAGTGACTTAGTCCTTGGCAGGGGGAAGAGCTGATATTGGAGATGTGCAGTGAAGTTGTCTCACTGTTGGGTCCTGTCATGTCTGCTGACCCTGGACTCCATTTTACCCACAGGAGGGAGAAAATTAAGGAGCTGGATCTCAGGAAGGGGCGCCATGACTTCTGGACCATATGGACTGGAACAGAGGATGGAGACTGCTCAGAGAGTGGGGATGAGGAGCGAGTAGTGAAGGTTCTTCCCAGATACGCAATGAGGCGGCGTCTGAAGGTCCTAACTGACCTCTGCCTCAGACTCCGACTGGATGAAGAGCAAGCATATTTCTTGCAGTGGGCCCAGCAGAAAAAAGGCTCCGTTCAGCTCTGCTGTGTGAAGATGAAGATCTGGGCTCTGCCTCTGTGCACGATCAAGGAGGTCTTGAGTGTTTTCCATCCCCGGCACATTGAGGAACTGGAAATGAACATGGGGTGGGATGTGTCCACTCTGGCATGTTTTGCTCCCTGCCTTGGCCACATGAGAAGTCTTCGCAAACTCTCCCTGGCACACGTCTACAAGAACACTATCGGGACTGGCAATAGACAAGAGAAGTGTGTCAGGAAGTTTGTGTCTCAATTCTCCAAACTGAACTGTCTGCAGCATCTCTCCCTGAATGCCGTATACTTTCTCAAACACCACATGAAACAAGTCCTCAGGTAAGCAAGGATAGAGATCTGAGTCAGCTACCAGAGTAATCCTTTGTCTTTAACTTTAAGGACTCGTGGATGGATGGTGCCTGCCTTTCACTAGGTCCAATTATGGTGAAAGTTAGGTGGGATTTGATGTAGTAGGCTCCAATAGGCAGTACCTGGTACTCTTCATTTTTTTTGTATGGTCAAACTGACATTGAGCCATGTACCCCAGCCACGTCTTTGTAAGCCCCAGAGTGCACACTCTTCTTTTGCTTGAACTAACCACGTTGTTTATCCCTAGGTGCCTGAGTAGCCCCTTGGAGACTCTCTCCATCACTGGATACCGCCTGTCACAATCCGACTTGAATTATTTACCCTGCTGTCACAGCCTCTGTCAGCTGAAACATCTGGACATGAGAGGTGTGGTGTTATTGACTTTAGATCCCATGCCTCTCCGACTTCTACTAGAGACTGTGGCACACTCTCTGCAGTCCCTGGACTTGGAGGGTTGTAGAATGGAGGACACTCAACTCACTATCCTCATGCCTGCCCTCAGTCGGTGTTCCCAGCTCACCAAGGTCAACTTGTATGGCAATGCCTTCTCTGTGGCCATCCTGAAGGACCTCTTGCTGCACACAGCCAACTGGAGCAAGATGAATAGGGAGCAGTACCCTGCCCCTGTGGAGTGCTATGATGACTTTGGTTACATCGACACAGAAAGGTTCCTCCACATTTGTCCTGAGCTCATGAATGCAGTAGAGGCCAAGAGGCAGCCCAAGAGGATTGTTTTTGCTACAGATACCTGCCGTAAATGTGGAGTGCGTTGTGTCTATGACCTGGGGCCCAGATTTTGTCCTTGCTAGTAGTAAATAAGGAACATGGCTTCCAGATTTGGGTCCTCTTCCTCTGAGTTTTTCCTTAGTCATTAGCCTCCATGTTAGGTTCAGGGTCTAGAAAGTTTCTCAGCTGGCTTCAAGGATCTACTGAAGCAAGGAACTGTATTTGAAGTCTTCAGCTGTGATCTCTTTATCAATTGTGTTTTTAAAATGTCCCCATTCTTATCCATTCCATTCTCAATTTTCTGTATAATGAAACAGCAATAAAATAATTCTGTATCATTTTTCTTCTGCATTGGTATCTTTCCTAAACACATAGAGTGATGGTCTTCTTTTTATTTATTTATTTATTTATTTGTTTGTTTATTTGTTTATTTACATGACAGGGTTTCTCTGTTTTTGGAGGCTGTCGGTCCAGCCTGGCCTTGAAATCACAGAGATCCGCCTGCCTCTGCCTCCGGAGTGCTGGGATTAAAGGCGTGTGCCACCACCGCCCGGCTGGTCTTGTTTTTAAATGCCATTATTGTTTTCTGGCTCCCATCCACCTACTGATTGTAAGGACTCTGGACAGAAATAAAAGTGGGAACAGCTACATGTCTATAATGACTCTATTCCAAATTGGGGCAGGTAGATACAGTTAACTGCTAGGGCTGACTACATTTGCCGGCCAGACTGGGACACAGACCCCAGAGCCAGAGGGATGGCCCAAAGGTTAAAAACACAGGCATGGTGTTCCAGAGGGTTCAAGTTCAGTTTCCTGTACCCATATCAGGTGGCCCACACCTGCCTGTATGTCCAGCACCAGGTGATGGAATCTGCATGGACACCTGCATTCAAGTGCATCAATCTATACAACGTATACATATGTGTCCCTAAATGAAAGTAAGTTAAAAAGCAAAGTTTACAAGTAAACAAAAAAGTAACCCAATAGCTAAAATAGACATATACTCCGTGGTGGGGTGCTTGCCCGGTACCTGTAAGGTCCTGGGCTCCACCTTCAGCTTCACATGGTAACAAAAGACCATGGAGCTTGAGACTGGGTTTCAGCCTGTGTTGAACACTTGCACAGCTTGCATTGGGCTCCTGGGTTTGCTCTCCAGCACCATGGATAAACTAAAGAGTATGAGGGGCTTGAGCACATAAAGTACTTGTAGATATAGAGTCAGAGTGATCAGGTGTGTATTTCACATAAACAGAGTACTATTTAAGGGTCATTATTCGAGTTTTAGGTTTCATATATATTCTTTTTTTTTTTCCTGAGAACCTGCCACTCACTACATAGCCCTCACATAGCAATTCCTGGGTACCTAGCTTCCTGGGATGTACCTCACTTGACAATGCTTTCCTACCATACCTGAGACTCTCAGCTGGATCTGTAAAGTCCATTAAATGGGGCACAGTAGTGACACTTGTAATCTCCCCATTCTGGAGGTAGAGATAGAGAAAAAAGATAACCACGGTCACCCTTCCTACATAGCCTAAGAACTTATTTTGAAAAATGAAGACACTGAAGAAAAGACCAATAAACTTTTTTACAGAAAAACCCAGAGCTATGTATTTGTTTGTTTACATGTTCCTGAATATTTCATAATGCCGAAATTTTGTTTATGAGGCTATTCTCACACTAGAAACAGTCCTCTGTCTCAGCCTTCTGTGGGATGGGATGACATATATGAACCACCATGCCCTGTTGGCTGGTAAACTGTGATACCCCCATGTAGGGAGAGATCTTAAGCACTTGCACCGCTGGCCACGCCCGAGCTAAGTAGTAGGGAAGGGAGATAAGAGCTTGGGGAGAGGAGGGCATTCTCTTGGGCTCAATCGTAGTCAGAGATTGGAGAGCACTGACCCTGGTTCTCGGCTTCTCATGTAAGTGACTTCTCTCTCTCTCAAATGAAATATAATATTCACACCCCTTTCTGGTATCACTGGCGTGGCTCGTTTCCATCATCACCCGCAACCAGCATTAGCTGTAATTGACTTCTACTGGGGAAGCAGAAGAAGGAGGGTCTCAAGCTCATGCCAGCCCAAGAAACGGTTGTCTGATTTAAAACAAGCAATACAGCTGGGTGTGGTAGCACACACCTTTAATTCCGGCACTGAGGAGGCAGAGGCAGGTGGATCTTTGCGTTCAAGGCCATCTTGGTCTTCAACACTAGTTCCAAGACAACCAGGGCCTACATAGGGAAACTTTGTAGCAAAAACAAACAAACAAAAAGAGTATTAATAAGGATTGAGGACTGAGGGAAGAAGTCAGTAATGGAGTCCTGGGTTCTAATCCAGACATCAGGTTTAAACTAAATTAAAAAATCCAAAAACGGCCGGGCATTGGTGGCGCACGCCTTTAATCCCAGCACTCGGGAGGCAGAGGCAGGCGGATCACTGTGAGTTCGAGACCAGCCTGGTCTACCGAGTGAGTTCCAGGACAGCCTCCAAAGCCACAGAGAAACCCTGTCTCGAGAAACCAAAAAAAAAAAAAAAATCCAAAAACACAGCTGAGATGGAGTTCAGTAGAGGAGGCTGGGCAAAGTGTTCATGGAGACCTGGTTGCCTGGGCTCAATCTGAGTATCTAAGAGCAACTAGTACATGCATGCAACAGCACACATGCATCCTGAGGACAAATGTCACAAGTAAGCTCCCTCCTTCCATCTCTGTTCAGGGATCATACTCAGGATGTCACCATTGGTAGCAGGAACCCTTACATTTTGACTCATCTCACTAGCCCAGGAATTGGAGCTTCTGAGAGATGTTTGCCACACAAACTTCCTAAGACACTGTTTTGCTTGGGTGTTTGTTTTGTCATGGAGAGTTTTGTACCAGGCTTTCTTTTAGGCCACCAACCAGCTCCCAAATCGTGACACAGAGACTTCTTACTAATTATGAATGACCGGCCTTATCTTACCTCTTATTTTAATCTGTTTCTCTTCTCCACGTTTTGACTTAGGGCTTTTTACTTTACTTTTCTTTCTTTCTGCATGTCCTCCTTTTCTGCCTCTCCCATTTCTCTGCTGGCAGCTGCCTGGCTTCTGACCTCAGGTGTGTCTCTCTCTTTCTACACGTTCTTTAATCCCTCACCAGCCTAGATTTCTCCTCTTACTTAGTCTCTTTGCCTGCCAACCCCACTTCTCCCTCTCCTGCCTAGCAATTTTACACTCAGCTTTTTATTAATGTGCCTTAGGCAGGCAAGGTGAAACAGCAAAGCATCTCTTCATAATTAAACAAATGCAGCATAAGCAAACGTAACACACTTTACATCATTAATAGACACAGCATAAACAAATGTAACACATCTTTGCCTAGTTAAAATAATATTCCCCAGCAAGGCTTTGCTGTGTTCTAGTTGTGGAGATACAATAACCTGAAAATATCTCTTTCATTCTATGTAGAATGCCTGGGATTGTTTGCTGGGCCTCACAGTCAAAGTTAACAATACATGCTGAGTTCACTTAAGAGTCAAGTCAGCTAGCCTACTATTAAACTGTTTTTTTAACCTGCCTTAAGAGAACAATGTAGTTTTAAGGTAATTGATAATCTAGACATTCACATAGTTAAATAACTAAATTCCTATAACTTTTCAACTTTCAATGAACTTTGTTATATGATTGTGTCCAATTTCCATGCATTTAACAAAAGTATCTTTATTACTATCTGCACATACAACCCTGTCTGGGATTAAAGGCGTGCGCCACCAACGCCCGACCGAAACCAACTTTTAAAACCTAAACAATCATTTCTTTTTAATTGAGAATAAAATGTTTCTCATATATTATATCCTGATTGCAGTTTCCCCCTTTCTATTCCTTCTAGATCCCCTCTCCTCCCCTCCCATCCTAATCCACTGCTTTTTTCTTACTTTAGAAAAGGAACGGATTTCCAAGGGATAGTAGTAAAATAAAACGTAATAACACAAACAAAAGCTAACACATAGCAACAGGACAAAACAGAGGAAAACAAGCCCAAGGAAAGTCAAAAGAAATAGCTACAGATGCAGAGGTCCCCCCCCCTTCCCACACTCAGGAATCCCATAAAAACACTAAACTGGAAACTACTATATACACAAAAGAGCTGTTGGGTAAAAAGACAGAAAAACAAAAAAATAGGTAAGTAGAAATTTTAAAAAGAAGATACATTTTTAAAACATTATTAGACAAGGAACCTTCAAAGATGTTGAGTTCTTTTTCAGGTAGCCATCTACTGCAGGGCATGCAGCCTACCCTTAAGAATAGTTTGTTTCCCCAGTGAGACTCCCATGCAAAAAAATACATTTTCATTGCCAAGTGGTTATAAATTGGAGACAGTTTCTGGGCTAGGGGTAGATGCATGCTCCCACTTCTCCTTTTAGCTCGAGAGCCCATCTGTTGCAGACCCAGGCAGGCCCTGCGCATGCTGTCTCAGTCTCTGGGACTTCAGATATGTCTTGCTGTGATAAGAGGGCCTTCTTTTCTTGGCGTCCTGTGTCCCCTCTGGCTCTTACATTCCTTGCATCTGCATTTCCACAGGGTTCCTTGAGCTTTGGGGTAGAGATCTGATGGAAACATCCTATTTAGAACTAAGTATTCTAAGGCCTCTCATTCTCTGCATATTGTCTAGCTGAGGATCTCTGTATTTATTCTCATCTACTGCCAGGAGGAAGCTTCTTTGATGCTGTCTGACCAAGACACTGATCTATGAGTATAGCAGAATGTCATTAGGAGTCATTTATTGCTACATTCTTTTAGTAGAACAGTGGAGTTTGCTTTTCCTTTAAGTCTCTGTGCTATTTAGTAGCAGGTTCTGGGTCACCCAGGCAGTGTTGGGTCCATCTCATGGAGTAGGTCGCAAGTCAAATCAGATAGTACATGGTTACTCTCACAAGCTTTGTGCCAGCATTGTCCAAGCATATGTTTTTGGATTAGGTTTATGTTTTCTTGTATCTGTTGAGACTTGTAATGTGTGCAGTTTTGGAGAAAGTTCCAGGAGGTGCCCAGAAGAAAGCATTTACTTTTGTCTCTGGGTGGAATGTTCTGTACATATCTGTTAGGTCCATTTGCTTTATATCATCAGTTACTCCAGGACTTCTCAGTTGAGTTTTGTCTAGCTGACCTGTCTATTGGTGAGAATTCACCCAGAATCAGTGTGACAGTCGGTATGTGATTGAAACTGTAATAGTGTTTCTTTTATGAACTCTGGTGCCCTTGTGTTTGGTGCATAGATGACAAGAAGTACAAAGTCTTGTTGGTGGATGTTTCCACTGATAAGTATGTAGTGTCCTTCTCATCTCTTCTGGTTAGTTTTGGTTTGAAG